CCCCCCCTCCACTTCTTCTCTCGTTTTATTTTATTTTATTTTGTTTTTCATCTCAGAAGGAAGCGGAAAGCCAACGAATCGAGACTAATTAACACTTTCGTGATCGAAGCACGCGATAAACGCGTTGTTACATGAGGGTAACGTGTCGCGTTTGCTACCTACCAGGAGCCATTTAAGCAGGTTTGTATCTATTGTTTCGATGTACATATACGTTTCACGAATTTGTGAAATTAAATTAGTTAATTATTTAAAATTTATCTTTCGAATCGATCTTTTAACTTTTTTAGAGAAGAAGAGAGAACTTTTAATTCTTTAAGTCTTTGAGAATTGTATTATCGTTATTTTTTTTTTGTTTTAATGCAGTTTATTATTTTAAATATTTGAGAATTATTAATTAATCGGTACAATTTTTCTAACTAGGAAAATTGATCGGGTATTATTTATAAAAAAAATAAAAAATAAAAATTGGATAATAAGTGAAACGAATTTAGAATTTCTTTTTTATTCCAATTATTTTATTTATATTTATTTGAATCAATTGAAACAAAAAAGAACTGCCATCACGTGTATACAATGAAATTTCCTTTTTATAATGTAATTATAATATCTCTAAGTGATTAGATTTTTATAATATGAATATGAAACTTGAAAAAGTACTAATATAATCCTAAATTTCTTCGTCTTTTATAAATATATAATTCATAACAGAATTTTCATTTATGAGCATTAAAAAGTTAATAGTCTCATCAATTATCATTGTATAAAAAAAAAAAAGTATTTTAGAAATAACAACGTTTATAAATTCGATTTTCTGATATTTTAAGAGTACAATAAATCTTGGTGTATCACATGAAATGTCCATAAAAGTTAGGCATAGTTAGTCTATGAATTATAAGTTGTAAATTGCTGTAAGTATTCTTTCGTCGTCTCTTTTCTTTCTTCTATCTTTCTAGCATTATATTTTTATTCGAATTAGTTTTAATCGATAATATACCACAGTGTTCTTTCTTTTGTATTAATTTATTACAATGTTAATTAATTTATTGTTCGAAATAATACGAATAAACGAAATCTGTGCGTATGTGTGTGTGTATGTGAGTGTGTTTGAAAGAAAAAGAGAGAGAGAGAGAGATTGGAGAATCGTGTTGAACTTCAACATAACACCAATTTTATTCTTCTTTCGTTTCTCTTAACAGGATAACATGTACACAGTGTAATATGAAGTTTGATTGCCAACACGTAAAATACATACTATTATATCGAGACAGTAATTATACACGTGAAGCACGTGAAATAGTATGTATAAATATACGTTATTTTACACGTTATTTCACGTGTACAGTATTTCACGTATGTTTTAGATACACGACACACATACTATTTAATAGAAATTTCTGTACATATAGTTTACATTATGCTTGCATTATTTCGTAACGTAAGAGCCTCTCATCAGATACTATAAAAAGGAAAAAACAATAAAGTTAACTAAGCTAGCGATTCATTCACTAATCGAAATACTCTTTAACTCGTATATCATGAATAATCAAACTTAACAAATCACAGCCATACAATTGCACTGGCTCCTGATATTCTATCTAACGTTATCTATTTCGTGTCCTGTTCAATCGAGATAAATTAATCGCGAAAGTGTTAATGAACGTCGATGCAATCATTCGTATATTTCGAAGAATTTTCGACTCAATCAATTCATGTTCATAATCGTTAAAGATGTCGTTCAAGAGTAGATCATTTTTAGGGCTCAATGGAATGGAAAACGCAGAATTAATATGAAACTTAAGTGACAGTCGCAGATCTGATCATTATCGAACTTGACCTGATCGTCCCATTATTGAAATTATTAGGAAGTTGATTGGAAAGTTTCATAATTTCTTTTTCTCAAAACTTTTGAGAAAACACGAATAAATAATTATTAAGAAAATTTCTTTTAAAAAATATGTATGTATGTACATTATAAAAATATATATACAGTATACATTTTTATTTTTAATACTTATTTTTTTTTAATTTAAGAATAATTAAGTTTGTTAAATAAATCGTGGTAAATTAAATGTTTATATGTATATTCAAAAATATTACTAATATTCAAAATAAAATATTCTTTGCAATATACAATATTTAAAATTCCGAAAAAAGTTTTTATTTATATATTTTTTCATCTTTATAAAAATATAAATTTGAAAATATGAACATCATCAACTAATAATAGTAAAATTTAGTAATAAAATTTTCCAATCAACTTACCAATTATACTCCATCAAAACACTGTTTCTTAATTAATACATTGCGTATAGCTTTCTGTTTAATAATAGAATATTAAGATCGAAATTACGCTTATGTTGTATCATCACATGCTGATGTTACACGAATTTTATTATGAAAATGAAATTTGAATACGACCAAAGACGTCATTCGAAAGAAAGTCAATGGTTCAATGATTGAATAACATTTTAAATGTCGAAACTGAACATATAATCGCAAGCCATTGTGAAGACGTTAAGTAATGTAAAATATTTGTCTGTATACGATAACTCGCCAGCTAGTCGTAAAGTGGTCACTAGAAAAAAGAATTTTTCAATAAAATTGCAATTCCTTGAGAAGGAAAATGAGAAAATAAACGATGAAAGAAATTTTTGAAGAAAAGAGAAAGACTGAAAAACCGATAATGAATTTAAAGAAGCTTTATGGAATTGACGATAAATCTGTGAAACGAGGCTGTACGCAATGTATTAATGGATTTTACTTTGGAAAAAATTTTGATTTAATGAGAAAAAGAACAGGTGAAAATATCCCCTTCCATGATAAAATGTTAAAGTTTTAAAGTATTATTTATTTATTTATTGTAAATTTTTTTGTACATATTATTTTGCGGAATTTATCATTTGTTGTTATTTCTTTGAGCAAGTGTGCCTGTTCTTTTTGACTAATCATGTTATTTCACAAAATATGTAAAATATTTTTACACGGGAATCGAACGTCTTGGAACGAAAGATTTTTAATTACGAAAAATTAACAAAGAAAGTTCCATCATTTTAAGATTTTGCTTAAATTTTTCACGAGTGAAAATGCTTTTTAAGAAAAATAGTAATCGACAGTTTCTTTTGTTTGAAACCAGGCAGATTAATTCTATATGAATCAGTATTATTCAACTTTACGCGACGAAAGCAAATAGCTAGAAAATCAAAATAGAGAGAGTTAGATCAATATTAACTCTGAAAAAGCATTTGTTAAAAATTATTTATATTACAAATGCTTTACATATTATTATTTTGTTTTATAATAATGAATCAATAATCAAAAATTAGATATAAAATTTAATCTTTTTCCTGGAATATTCATTAAATAATTTTCTCGTATTAATAAACAGAAGCTAATAACTTTTCAATTAAATTCATTTTTTTAATTATATTTATTTTTTCATTAACTCTAGAATATATTATTCATATATTCGTGTATAAAAAAATTACGAAATTTAGATAATTATCAATAATCAAACCTATAATTTCTTATTTAGAAATTGATCTTTACAAAATTTATATGTTTTCAATCTTAATAAAATTAAGAAGAAAACATTAAAAATGAAACTTTCATCGTGAAAAATATAAAAATTCCAAATATTTAGGTACATCTTCCAGAATTTAATTAATCTAACTATCTTTCACTAAATCGTCAATATTCTCATTCAACGAAAATTATTTCAAAGAAATAATATAATAAACTAAGTCGAAATTTCACGTGTAAGCAACGTGTCATTCTCAATATCGTGTACCAAGAATTTCACCCGCCTCGACGAGGAAAGTTTGCGCTCAAAAATGGCACTCTGAACGAACGCAACGTTTAAATTACGCTTTCTTAAATGCGCGTACAATATTACACAGTCCATATCTTCGATATCAGCCCGTTACATTTTCGATCGTTCCAATGCCTCCAGTCTGGCGCCAGTAGAATTCCCATAATATTCGTACTTAATTTATGTTAGCTTTACGGCCTGCGTTAACAGCTCCGCTTATTCGCACACATTTTATTGGTTTATGATCACGTATCTCACATTTTTCCTCTCATACGTTGTCAACCGCTTTACACGTGTCACCTCTCACCTACACGATCGAATAAATTATCGATTATTGCACGATTCTGTAGATGGAAAAATCGTGGAACTGGAAAATTCAGGAATGAGATAATTTATTAGGGGAATGATAAGAGCCCACTTTGTCGATCATTTATTAATTTGTCTTACGCGTGATCGTGTCATATGATTTTCGTGAAATATGATACTGCTGGTTGAAATTAAATGGATGTTTTGCAATTTTAAGATATTATCGAAGCCATGAGATGAAGAATTCTTGGCATCTCGAGTAGCACTTACTTCATTTATTCCCCTATCAAGGTAGTAACGTAAAAGTATGTCAAGGATAAGAAATATTATATCTTTGAACGAATTATAAATAATTTTCCGGAAAAAGCATTTTCGAGAGAGAGAGAGAAAGAGAGAGAGAGAGAAAGAAAGAAAAAAAAAGAAACAATTGCAATGAATTTTTAACTATTTTATTATACAACAATTGGTTCGAGAAGTTTAAGTTATCTTTTTTTTTATTCGTTAATGTTTCCTCTATTATTATTTATTACGTTTGCGAAAGTTCAATTTTTGTATAAAGTTTTCGTTATTATGTTAGAAAGAAATTTAAAAAGAGGGAGAGAGAGAGAGAAAATGTTCATAAAATTTTGTGCAATTTGTTCGGACGAAAGTGTTTGTAGAGAATTGTATATTTTATTATTTATAGAGAACGTGATTTATCTACCCATCTTTATTTTACTCTTTTCTTTGCTCGACAAACTCTGTCCCATGGGTCTGATTTTGCGGAATGCAAACTTCTCCATGGCCTACCATCCACGCGAAACAATTAACGTTCCTGACAGCCGCAAAAGTGTTCCAAGAAACGGGGAAACGTCGCGACACCCCGCATTGTAAAAATACAAGATTGGAATTACTTTGCAATAACGCCAATTCTCGCTTAAAAAGGAGATACAATTATTTCTGAGATATTTTACAAGGAAACGCGTTTCTTTGGCGTCTCGAACGGTCTCCTTTACGCTGTTCCAATACCTTTTATTTATCTGTTAATAATAACGAGACGTCCCTCTCAAAAAAAGAAAAAAAAAAAAGAAATTTTCACGAAATTTTCACGAAAAAACTATTCGTATCGATAAATATTTAGCATTACGATATTCACAATTTCTATTCGTAATATTTGAATAGGATTTTTGTAATAAATAATTCTCTATTTATCCACCATGTTTAAGATTCGTTTATATTTCTTTATTTAGAGAATTTTATGTTATGTAATATTTTGAAATTGCATTAATGTTATTCGAATAATTGTTCCTACAATACATAATTGTATAGTCAATCGCGATATTTAAAATTCGAATATAATTTGTAAATAAATAACTCGGCATTTATTTCTATTGTTCCGAATCAAATTTTCGTAATGCACTAATTGATCATTTGCAACATTTTAAAAATTCCGTATCTTTAATATAATTAACTTTAATATAATTAACACGTTGGTTATATTTGCGATATTCAAATATAATTCGAATTAATTGATTTTAAGATTTTTGAGAAAACGCAATACTCAATTTCGCTGATTTTCTGATCAATACGAAAATAAAAATTATTTTAATTCTTCGAAGAATAAGCGGGAACCTATGATACCTCTATTGTTGCAATCCGAATACATGAAATCAATCACGAAATAAAAAAAAAAAAAGAAATTCCGGCCGGATAATTTCATTCTTGCGTGGTGACATGTGCGATGACATTACAAATCCGAATGGCAATAAATTTATACTCATTTCGACATTTACGCGAGACCACTTGTGCAATTCGGTATTGGATATTTCTATCCAGCCTTTGTCTCATGTATTCTGTTCGCCTATTTCGAGGCTACGCGAACCGGAATGGACCGTATTTATCAGATGAGATCTGTCTATCGTCGCTAGAAGCAAGGTGCAGAAAAGTAAAAAAAAAAAAAAAAAAAAAAAAAAAAATTTCAAAAACCCCCCAAAAAACCGTTTAAAAAAAAAAAAAAAAAAAAAAAAATTTCAAAAACCCCCCAAAAAACCGTTTAAAAAAAAAAAAAAAAAAAAAAAAAAAAAAAAAAACTATGTAAATGCACCGAAACGAACGATTTAAAAAAAAAGAAAAAGAAAAAGAAAAAAAAAAGAAGAACGCGAACGAGATATTCGTGACATTCGGTTCCAAATATCGAATGTCTATTACCTGTGAACGTTTGAAATCGTTTTTAGATGGAAATGCAATTGTATGCGATAATATAGTTCCTGTATTATACATAACGTATATAATATAAATTTAATATACATAAATTATTCTATTAGTAGAGCTTTAGACTATTCTAACAGTAGTACATTGTGCGAACCAAAAATTAAACGTCACCTTGATATGTCTGCCGTAATTATTATTTCGATATCGATTTAATGTATAACTCGCGAGCATATTGCATTAGAGTTACTTTAAGCAGCGTTTACGTTAGGCAACTTTTGACAAAAGAATCGATCTATGATCTATCGAAATTTAATTCAAAAAATATAATAAATATTATTATAAATAAATATCTCTGTCTTTACAAATATTAATTATATTCTTTCATTTAACTTAATTTATTATTATTCGAGAGGCAAGTTGCCTTAAACAACTTTTAATCGAACAACCGGAACAAATTAAATTTTAATTGGATAAAATAAATGGCTTTGGATCGGTTAAAA